ATTAACAGTTATTGACAGCACAAGTGAACTTTTATTTTTTTAAATACAATGCCTGAAATTAAGAGCAAGATGGTATTGATAACAGTATGATAAAGGACCTCTCTTCCTCACGGAATGTAACTGTAAATATTAATATGACAGATGAAAAGGGTCCACATCTTACTCCTGTAAGATTATTTGGACCTGAACAATCAAGATAATTTTCATCATCAATTCAAAAATTTGGATGATTTTCATGTGCATGTCTCAGGCTAGCAGAAAGAACAAAGCTTTATTCTGGATGTTTAAAGATCAAAACAAGCTCTCCATTCAACTGCTCTCTAAAGCATTTTATTTCATTCTTACACACTACTCATCTGAAGATTTGGGATATATTTCAGCAGAAGGCCAAAATATCTAATGCTGCTGAGGCCATGCCAGAACTATGAGTATGACCTGAAAATCAGTCCAGATGGCATTCAACAGCACTCTGGGGAGGAGTGGAACTGAAGCAAGTGTGGACAGGCGCTTGTCTGTTTAAGGCAACAGGAAAGAATCTGGATGAGACTTCCAATTAACTTTTGTTGTAAACAGGTCTACATGGGAAGTTACCAAAGGTGGGAAATGTATCTAGCTGTGTTTGGGCAGACAACTCTCATGGTGACTTAGTGAATGATAGGTTTAACAGGTCTGCCAGATAGTTCTGAATACCCATTTGAGGTTGCAGGAGCAGGATGGGGGGTGCAGGGACTCAGCGGGGGTATGTTTGGGGGGAGAGGGCAGTGTAGGACCTGGGCATGAAGGGGAGGTGGGGAACTTTCTTGCTTTCATGCCCTGAGCTGCTCCCAGACATTGTGTCTCAGGCACAGCCTCCTACTGCTCCCACTGGTCTGTTTCCAGCCAATGGGAGGAGTGGGGAAAGCCTCTAAGCATTGCATCAATGCACTTCTATTTCCCCAGCTGAGGGAGGGGAAGCAGAGGCGCTTGGAAGCACTGCTGGATCCACTTTTCCCGTGAGGGTAAGAAGGGGAGGGGCTGAGCTCAAGCCACAGTGAACCTTCAAGGCATCCACAGACTGTTGGTGGTTCCCAGACTCCAGTTTGACAACCACTACTCTAGAGGTACATTCACCTGAGCAAATACTTCCCAGTCAGTACTGAGACCAGTACTGGGAGTGTTCTCCTGCTGCATCTGTCAGTATCTACTTGATAAAGCAGAGAGAGGAGGATATACGGAGGTAAGTGGAAATCTGCAATGGGCAGTCAGGGCTTTAGAGCCAAATTTCTTCTTTGCCTTAGATCTGCTTGATGGTCAAGATAGCATCCCCGGGGGACTCCGAGGATGGTAGGTAGTGGATAGGAACCAATGATGTTCATGGCACAGCTGTCAGAGTTCAGAGTCAACTTTTGACCAAGGGGGAGAACTGTTCTCTTTGATGCCAGAGATTGATAACCAGAGCCTGGAGATGGCAGTCCCAGTGAGATCATGGATGGCATGACATAAAGACACATTCAACAAACTAGTGGAAATCACAATATTATACATTGGAGTGATACAAAGCAGCATCAGTACTGAGTGAGAAGTCCCTTGGCTAGCCTGTGAAGCCAGTGCTAAGAGACTTATCGGATTCATTCAATACCATACTTTCAGTGTCCCTCGCTTCTGTTTGCCAGAACCTGGGACCGGATGACAGTGGATAGATCACTTGGATTGTCTATTCTGTTCATTACCTCTGAAGCACCTGGCATTGGGCCACTGTCAGAAGACAGGATACTGGGCTAGATGGACCTCTGGTATCACTCAGTATGGCCATTCTTATGTTCCTATCCCATCTCATCGCATAAGCCTCAGGTGTAGACATACCAGGAAAGTCTCCCATACCACTGAACTATACGGAGCCACTTCAGGGGTTGGTCCACCATGACAACACTGGTGCTGATGGTCCCTTTCGATCAGGTGACTGCCTCAGAGTACCTTGGCCTTGAGTGAACTCTTGTGTTCTTGACCACAAACTTCCTAGACTTTGGTGCCAGAGGTCTCAATCTCTCAGATTCTGAGCATTTGACAGTTTCCTGATATGAGACACTGAGTCACCTCAGGCAACCAGCAGGTCACACACTGTCAAAGTTTCTTACAAGAACAACAAGGCTTGAAACCCAGTTACAAGGTACCCAGCAACAGGAACCAAAGTATTCAAAAACATTTTAAAAGGAAAACTTATTACTATAACAACTAAACGGCTATCAATAAACACAAATGAGAAATGAAACTTCCAACAACAAGAAACATTCCATAACCAGGGCTCAACAAATAATGTAATCTACTCGCCAGTGGTGAGTAGATTACAACCCAGAAAAGCCAGCGAAGAGCGATCTGCTTGGCGAGCCCTGCCAATAACCATCAAGTACGAGAAGAAAAAACTGAGGGGAATCCTAGCAATCCTGCCCTTTACACTTTCACATTGACCATTATGAAGCAGGTGGTGCATGTGCTGCCCTGACAGGGTCCACTGAACAAGTTTCTGACTACTATATACTGGGCGCACACAAATCTGATGCGGAACGGACATATGTAAATCACTTGAAAAATAACTTGGAATTTGGCTACACAATTGGTAGCCATTATAATTAGGATGTGCTGTTCTGAGTTGAAGTATACAAATCTCAGCTATAAAAACTACATGAAAAACCCATGAACGTGGCTTCAGAGTTTTTTGAAAAGTCAATTACTAACTCACAAAACGATTTAAGTCAAATTCTCAACTACTATTGTGACAGTGGATTTATGGAATAGTACTGAAGTGTTACAAAATATCTGCAAACAGTACCAAAATAGTCTGAGAGATGTGTAATTTAAAGTTAAACACATTTATTTCAAAGGGCCAAATTTTTCTCTGGACTGCAGTGGTGTAATTTAAATAACACTGGTCTACAATTTTTTAGAAGTCGTCTGCTTCAGAGATAAAATGTGATATTTATTATGTATTTTGATGTGCTGAATTCAAATATGACAATTAAAACAAGTGATTGGCTACTGTTTCCAAGATATTTAAGTTTTTATATTTTACGTCTATGTATATTGTATAGATAGAGTTTTAATCAAACTGCAAACCTAGGTCTTGTCATGTGTTTGTGGTTGCTTTACATGATATTTCACCTGTCCTGTTTATGTAACATTTTAAAAATCAGCAAAAGGGTTATATAAATAAAATTTATTATGAAACAAAAAGGCAAAAAACTATTATGTAAATAGTTTAGTCCTCTTCAGTGTCTACTCGGTGCTTCTTGGCTTGTCTCTTGTATTCATTAAATGGAGCATTTCTTGTCACTGTCCAGCAATAGTCTGCAAGCATAGTTGGGCTCCATTTGCCCTGATAGTGTTTCTCCATTGTTGCAATGTCCTGGTGAAATCGCTCGCCATGCTCGTCGCTCACTGCTCCGCAGTTCGGTGGAAAAAAATCTAGATGAGAGCGCAAAAAATGTATCTTTAGTGACATGTTGCAACCAAGGCTTTTGTATGCCTTGAGGAGGTTTTCCACCAACAACCTGTAGTTGTCTGCCTTGTTGTTTCCAAGAAAATTTATTGCCACTAACTGGAAGGCTTTCCATGCCGTCTTTTCCTTGCCACGCAGTGCATGATCAAATGCATCATCTTGAAGAAGTTCACGAATCTGAGGACCAACAAAGACACCTTTCTTTATCTTAGCTTCACTTAACCTTGGAAATTTTCCACAGAGGTACTTGAAAGCTGCTTGTGTTTTTGTTCATGACCTTGACAAAGTTCTTCATCAGACGCAGCTTGATGTGTAAGGGTGGTAACAAAATCTTCCTTGATTCAACAAGTGGTGGATGCTGAACACTTTTCCTCCCAGGCTCCAATGACTGTCGGAGTGGCCAATCTATCTTGATGTAGTGGGAATCTCTTGCACGACTATCCCATTCGCAGAGAAAACAGCAGTACTTTGTGTATCCAGTCTGCAGACCAAGCAAGAGAGCAACAACCTTCAAATAGCCACAAAGCTGCCACTGATGTTTGCCATAGTTTATTCATCTCAAAAGTTGTTTCATGTTGTCATAAGTTCCTTCAAATGGACTGCATGACCAACTGGAATTGATGGCAAAACATTGCCATTATGCAGCAAAACATTCATGACTTCTAGGAATAACATGATGCAATTCATATCATGTATGATGCAATACCAGCTTCAGATTGCATCATTCATTGTTTTGCCTAAAAAGCAAGTACTGTCCAAACCCAGTCATAGATTTATTCATAGATCCAGTCAAAGATGTATTTTAGTCATTTCTGGTTTAAATTGAGATCCCTTCCCTTTATAACTCACTTATCCTCCGCCATTCGCAAGTCAAGGGTCGTATATACTGACCCAATAGCATATCTTGAAAACTAAAGCCAATCAACAATTTTAAGCATCATTTTCGTTCTCAGTGACCCAGAATTAGTTAAGTTTGACTACATTTATTTCAGAAGCATTTTGGCTGTAGAGCAGTGTAACCAGCCAAGTGACTTGCCTAATTAAGAAACTCTTCCTTTTTGGTGGGAAATATATTCAGCTCAGCAAACTTATAGCACAAGTCCATTGTCTTACTATTGCTGTTGCCCAACTTCTGCAGATTTATGCAAGATAAAACTTCAGCTGTCACTTACCAACAAACAAATCCATTACTCTTTTCCCCTTACACTGTAACGGCTTATTTTTTTGAAGTTTTTTCAGTGTCAAAATGCACAGTGCATTTTCAAGTACAAAACAAGAGAATACTGTAAGTAATTATTTCAACTGCTTACATTGCATTTGCTTTCACTTTTATCAAAATAAGAGATTTTAAATTAAGCAACCAGAAATAGAGGTTATGAAACAGCTGTTTTTTCATGGAAACAAAATAAATATGAAATCATGCTCTCTTGCTTGCCTCTCCATTTTCCCAGTGTGTATTAAGTTGAGTCTCAGAGAACACTGATGAGACCAGCTTCAACTACAAATCACACAGTCTTGAATGACTTACCAGAAACATTAATTGATGTTCCTGCATCAATAATTCCACTGTTAGGCCTTACACAGTATCTGCGTGGTGCTGTAGTCTTTACTTTGAAGCACACATTTTTGTCTGTAGGATTACCAAGTTTCAGGTTTGTGGTGACAACATCTGTGAAAGGACCTGCAGAAAACAGCAAAAGGGATTTTAAATTATATGCAAAATATTTTCTAAACAACTTTGAGTTTAGACAGACACTAAATTTGTGTCTACAAATCTTATGAAGTGATTAGATATTCTAGCTTACAATAGTGATCTCTACAGGTGCATGCAAATTGAGGATGGAGTGAGGCCTCTGAAAATCTGACATGTTATTCTTGAATGCATATCTATAGTTGTGCTTTGTCTTATGACTGATAAGCTAAAAGGAAGGATAACTGGTACATCATGCAAACACAGCAGCTGAATTCTGCTCTTACACTGATGTAATTGTTAAATAAACACTAAAGTAAGATATCTGTGAACATCTAGACTACAATTGAGAGGAAACAGTTCGACCCACTTAATTCTAGCCTGTATGGAGGAGAGAGCTGTTTCAGAAGCAAAGTCTTAATCTTAAGAAATCTTAAATCTGTCAAAATGGCAAAAAAGTGAATATTATTCATATTAAAAGGGAAAGCAGTGTTGTAAGAGAGATCAGTCCAAGATTGAACAATGCTGGAAAAGAGAGCGGGAGCTGGCCACCCTGCATGAGGGGCTGCCAGTGCCTGTAGCCCAGTGTGTGGTGAGTGGGGTGCAGGAGGGAAGGAGAGAGCAGTTGGAGCCTCTCCCTCTCAAGCCTTAGGTTTAACTAGTTTACTGATTGACCAGGATTTTACATCCCTAGCCCCACTGAAAGTATGTTAGTCAAAGCACACATCTGGGATTTCTAATTGGATCAGAGCTATAGGTTTCTGGCAGTTCAAATATTTGCTATTGTGCTACTGTATTAATTTTTCTCTGCTTAATATCACAGAATCATAGAACACTAGGACCAGAAGGGACCTCAAGAGTTCAGTCTCCTGCCCTCACAGCAGGACCCAGCACCATCTAGAAGACCATACCTGGTAGACATTTATCTAACCTGCTCTTAAATATCTCCAGAGATGGAGACTCCACAACCTCCTTAGGCAATTTATTCTAGTGTTCAACTACCCTGACAGTTAGGAACTTTTTCCTAATGTCCAACCTAAATCTTCCTTGCTGCAGTTTGATCCCATTGCTTCTTGTTCTATCCTCAGAGGCCAAGGAGAACAATTTTTCTCCCTCCTCTCTGTGACACCCTTTTAGATACCTGAAAACTGCTATCATGTCCCCTCTCAATCTTCTCTTTTCTAAACTAAGCGAGCCAAATTATTTCAGTCTTCCCTCATAGCTCATGTTCTCTAGACCTTTAATCATTCTTGTTGCTCTTCTCTGGACCCTCTCCAATTTCTCCACATCTTTCTTGAAATGCGGTGCCCAAAACTGGACACAATACTCCAACTGAGGCCTAATCAGCGTAGAGTAGAGTGGAAGAATGACTTCTTGTGTCTTGCTCACAATACACCTGTTACATCCTGGAATCATGTTGGCTTTTTTGGAAACAGCATCACACTGTTCACTCATATTTAGCTTGTGGTCCACTATAACCTCTAGATCCCTTTCTGCCATATTCTTCCTAGACAGTTGCTTTCCATTCTATGTGTGAGAAACTGACTATACCTTCCTAAGTGGAGTACTTTGCATTTGTCCCTATTAAACTTTATCCTGTCTGCCTCAGACCATTTCTTCAATATGTCCAGATCATTTTGAATTATGACCTTATCTTCGAAAGCAGTTTCAACCTCTCCCAGCTTGATATCATCTGCAAACTTAATAAGCCTATTATCTATGCCAATATCTAAATAGTTGAAGATGTTGAACAAAACCCATCCCAAAAAAGACCCCTGCGGAATCCCACCTGTTGTACCTTTCCAGCATGATTATGAACTGTTAATAACTAATCTCTGAGAACAGTTATCCATCCAGTTATGCACCCACCTTATAGTAACCCCATCTAACTTGTATTTGCCTAGTTTACTGATACGGTTAACTTATCAAATGCCTTACTAAAGTCCTGGTAAACCATGTCTACCGCTTCTCCCTTATCCACAAGGCTTGTTATCCTATCAAAGAAAGCTATCATACTTGGTTTGACATGATTTGTGCTTTACACATCCATGCTGGCTGTTCCCTATCACCTTATTACCTTCCAGGTGTTTGCAGATGATTTCTTTAATTACTTGTTCCATTATCTTTCCTAGCACAGAAGTTAACTCCAGACCACTCACTGAGTTTTCCTGGGTTGTTCTTATTTCCCTTTTTATAGATGGGCACTATATTTGCCCTTTTCTGGTCTTCTGGACTCTCTCTCCTGTCTTTCATGATTTTCCAAAGATGATAGCCACCGGCTCAGATACCTCCTCTATCAGCTCCTTGAGTATTCTAGGATGTATTTCATCAGGCTCTGGTCACTTGCAGACATCTAACTTTTCTAAGTGATTTTTAACTTGTTCTTTTTTTATTTTATCCTCTAAACCAGCATTCCTCAAACTATGGGCTGCGGCCTGTTACCGGGCTGCGGCAAAAATATACCAGGCCTCAGCGGGGCTGCTGGGGTGTTCCGCGCTCCAAGCATGCCCGTGCATGCTGTGTCCCCAAGCCCTGGCCCGGGCTGGATGAAGGATGCAGCTAGGAGTTCTGGGTTTTCCCAACTGCCCATGCGGCACCACGTTCCCAATCCCTGGGCCGGGCTGGATGGAGAATGCAGTGGTCTCTATGGGTGAGTGGTGGACTACTTTTTAATGGGAATTCAATGGCTCCTCCAGGGGGTGGGCTCTCTGTAGGGGCAGCACAGTGCCTTGGCAGTGCCGGGGAGCGCAGGCCACCTGGCAAGGCAGCGAGAAAGGGCTTCGTCTCCCCGGAAGCATGTGTATTTTCACACAGCCAAGCCTGTATCATTGGTTTTCCTGTCACGTGATACAGCAGCCTCAGTTTGTTTCTGCATAGTGGGACAACGTGCACGTCCTCTTAGGTTAACTGCTTAACTCCTTGGACCCGCAATTATTCTGATGAGTATTTGAAATTTGGTTTTAGAAGTGTTGGAAGTGATAATCACTTGCCATTATGCCTAATCTGTGTCTCAGAACTATAACGAGTGCATGAAACCAGTGCAAACATCCAGAATACGCAAGTAAGCCCATAGATTTTTTTCATAACCAAGAGAAATGAATGAGCTTTTGCTTAAAAACAAAAAAAACCACACATGAGAAGTGCACTTTCTATGGGCTCTTCAAATGAAAACTTTGTGTTGGCTTCATATGAAGTTTCAAAACTAATAGCCGAGACAGGTTACCCAAGTACTGTTGGTGAAAGGTTAATACTTCCTGCATTGCATATTATTACATCCCTTATTTATGGAGGAAAAAAAGGGGAAATCAGTTGGGTTCTCTGTCTTTATCCAACAATACAGTGAAACGTAGAACTGAAGAAATGGCAAAAAATATTGAAGAAATGCTCATTCATCGAATACAAAATAGTCAGTTTTTTGCATTACAAGTGGATGAAAGCACTGATATAGCTGATACTGCCAATTTGATGTGTTTTGTTAGATATGATTATGAAAGCTCCATTCAAGAAAATCTCTTATTTTGTAAACCACTTCCAACAAGTACAATGGCTGCCGAAATTTTTAAGCTAATCAATGATTTTATTATTCAAAGTGATATTGACTGGAAAAAGTGTGTTGGACTGAGCAGTGATGGGGCTCGAGCAATGGATGGGTCTCGCACTGGGCTTGTCCCATGGATTCGAGCTGTAATGCCTGACTGTGTATGGGTGCACTATAGCAGTGGTCCCCAACCTTTCGTGGATACTGGGTGCCCACGGGCAGAGCTGCTCACGTGCCACGCTTCCGGGGGTGGGGCCACGCATGCGCCGCGCATCCAGGGGTAGGGGCCACCCACGCGCCCTGAGCCCAGGGCCAGCACCGCGCATGTGCGGGGCAGGAGCCGCCCACACGCATGTGCCATGCAGGGGCCACCCACGCACTCTGTGCCCGGGGCTGGCACTGCACATGTACCGCACACCCAGGGCAGGGGCCACCCACGCGCGTTGGGGACCACTGAATTATAGTATTCACAGAGAGGCACTAGCTGTGAAAACTATGCCATCTCTTTTGAGTTCCACTCTTCAAGAATGTGTGAAGTTTATAAATTTTATAAAATCTCATCCTTTGAATTCCATAATCTTTACTGCTTTGTGCAACAATTCAGGAAGTAAACATGAGCATCTTTTACTGCAGTGAGGTTTGCTGACTGCCAAAATGAAACATTTTGAAACTACTCTTTGAAATGAAGGATGAAGTTTTATTGTTCTTGGAGCGAAACCCTCCATTGGCAAAAGATGTTATATTTACATTTAAAGACAGGTTTCATGAATTTGATTGGTTAACTATGGTGGCTTACTTATGTGACATATTTTGTCTTTTAAATGATTTAAGTTTGAATTTACAAGGCACTAAAATTAATATTTTCAAAGTTCACGAAAAAGTTGAGGCAACAATTAAAAAACTTTGAACTAAGTTTTTTTGTACTTTAACTGAATTACATGAAAAATATGCTCAAACTAATATCTCAAATGTGAATTCTGCAGCAATCCAAGAACACCTCTTGGGGCCAACATCAAGCTTAAATGAATATTTTCCTCCAATTGATGCCAGTAAAATGTGGATTAAGGACCCGTTTACTGTTGACACTGAAAATGAAGAAATACTACAATTGAGTGCATCAGAAGTGGATTCATTAATTGAACTTTCCTGTGACTATGCCTTAAGAGAACTTTGATAAACTCTCCTTGATTGATTTTTGGTTGAGCTGTAGAAATGAATATTCACATTTATCTGAGAAAGCAGTCAAATTCTCAATGCCTTTCATCATGACATGTAAGTGTGAAACTAGTTTCATCTTTGGTTGTCTTCAAAAATAAATATAGAAATAGATTGAATGTTGAACCAGATTTGAGGATAAAACTTTCTTTTGCTCCTGACAAAGTTGTTGTGATGCAAAACAACATCACCCTTCCCATTAGTTCTCTTTTTAGTTACAGGCAGTCCCAGACTTACA